GTTTTTTTTTTTTGGCCATTTTTTACACTGTTGTCGCAAACACTCTAACTTAAGTCAAAATTTATTAAATTATCAATGGGCCTAGAAAAAACATAGCACGTAAGATATGGGTAGATTTAGCTATTTTTAAATCTACTGCAACACAAGTGGATCATTGCTCCAAAAAAAAAAGTCTTGCAAGTGGATAATACAAATAAATACATATGCCATGCATCCTAGCTATAAGCATTAAATTTTTATTAGCAATTTAAATTTTATTTTATTTTAGTCTGTATAAACATCTCAATAGACTAAAGGGAAAAAAGCAAAAGTTACATCATTATTTCATATGTTATTTATAATGACGAGCAGGTAAAAAAAATATGTAAAATATTATATGAATAACAAAATAGACAAAATGTAGATCATATTTTTCTTAATGGTTGTAGGACAAAATATAAATTATATAAAATAAGCATATAAGTATGAAATGAAACCAATGAAATTGTTTAACTATTATAAAAAGCATAATTGTCTCTAAGAACATGACCAACACACATAATAACTAGAAATAAATACATAACCTAAAAACAGATTAAAAACACCAAATTAGGAATAAGAGCTAGAAATGAAATTAACATGACATAAAGTTTGAAATCATCAACTCAAGCCTATTCTTCCTAGATTTGTTCGCATTTTGCTCTGCGGCGTCTTGCAAATGATGTATTATTTTCATTAGCTTTAAGATTTCCACCAAATGCATGATTTAACATATTTTCAAGACCATTCTTCGTAGCATTATGTCTAGATGTAGTAGAAGGGATTTCCATGAAACCAGCATTGTGCTTGCTACTCTCTACCTCAACTTGACGATCAGCTGATGGGAAATTACCAAATGGGTTTGCTTTCTCAACATTGGTAGTGTTTACAATTGCAACTTTAGATTCTACTATGGACTTCTTTGCTTCAAAACTTGGGCCTATTGTAGTTGCTACTTGGTGTGTAGAGGTTGAGTCAAACTTTGATAATTCAAAAAAATTTGCATGCACAGTTTGATTAGCAGAAGAATTTGTACTATCAGATGATTCTACCAGGCACTGCTCAGTGTTTTGCATAAATGTAAAGATTTAGATGTATAGAAACACATATATATTTGCATAATGCATCCGACACATAAATAAAATGATATATAATAGAAAATGAAATAGCTATACCTTTTTTCTGTGAGACCAACAGAAGTACAACCCTCAGATGTAGCGTCTTCATAAGATGTGTTCAAGAAAGACTGCATTATAGTTTTATCATGTCAACTGAGTAGCTACACACACACTGGAATTCCCATTGACATAATCTCCTGGAATATGTATCTTGAACAAATACCTCTTCCAAGATATCTGCTCAAGAATATATGAGAATCTGCCTTCATCGGAGTCGTCATTGATAAATAATTGATGAATGGTTAGAAAATATAAATGGCACAGGATTAAAAACATGCATGACACAAAACAAATTGTAGGCTTGCCATTTAACAACCTGATTAGTCTGGCGTGCCTTCAACTCTGTTGCAAAACATCCAAGTAGTTTGGATAATTCTCAGTCAAAAATTACAACATGACATGATCCAGTGTCATCCAATATCTCATAGTCCACCATGAACCTGCCAATAAAATATCAGTATTGTATAAAATAATAAATATTTTGTATTAAAACTATGACCATCGAAAGAGATATCACATTGACATTACCTTGGAATAACAACTTTTACTATAGCTTGGCACTTTTCATAAAGAAACCTTCTCCATCTGGAGCCACTTTCTTGCTACATTGTTTGCTTGATGTGTACATCCATCCACAGTCAGATCTCACATCTACAATATCTGCCATAGTAACCACTATAGATTCCTGTAATAGATAACACAAGCTATATAATAGCAAGAATGACGAAAATACAAACAAACGAAGTAGAAAACAATGCATTGTGCTATATACGCACTGCTGATCTAGATCGTAAATCCAATATTTTTCTTGGTCATCTACAGCTAGTAGATCATCAGCCACAGATAGTACAAGTTGTGGAGCAATTCGAGCAGGTATTTGGCCCAATTGAATCCCAGCACTTTTCAATCTGTGAAAAATCTTTTTTTTAAAAAAGTGATAAATGCTATCACATACAATAAAACTTGAAATAAATGTAGACTCTATTATACTCAAACCAATATAATTGCATGCTTCTCCACAAACTCCTGAACTTCTTGTATTGTAGAATGAATCAGGAGACGAGAAGAGTACATAGAATTAGAGACTTTTTTTTCCTTCCTGCCATGCCATTACATAGAAAAATTAGACTTATTATTGTCCAAAGGAACCCAATGTAGCTATGGTGTCAACTAAACAGTATCAGACCTTTAAACTCTCTAACTTTGCACAGTTGAACGATGATGATAGTAGAACCAGTGTGGACACAAGACACATGCTATAGAACTTCATTAGTAAAATCTCTCCACAATACACTCTAGTTTTTCCTTCTTGTCAAAATGAAAGAAACAAAAAGAAAAAATTCCCCTCTAAACCTAAGTTTTTAATCACCGACTTGGTTAAATTGGGAGAAATAGACTCAAAATAAGAGTGTACCCTTCATCCAGTAACTCTACATCAATGTCTTAACAGTAGCACAGATGCTTCACCTTATAAGAAAATAACCCTTAGAACATAAGAAGTAAGATGCCTAAATTAATTAGTAAAACACGTACATCCTCGTCCATGAGAATCATTTCCATGGATGATATCTCTTCATGAGAGTAGCGTGCGGGCATAGTCCATAATTGAACGACACGAACTTTAACCAATCGCGGCTTTTTTAATGAAATATTAGTTTTAATTCAAAATTTAAAATATTAATTAAATTAATTTAAAACATAAAATATTAATTTGAAATCATAAAAATAACACAGCATGAAAAACTGCCTATCATATTACACAAAACGAAACATATTACTTCACTTAATTGTAATAAAAAATAAACTGCCTTCATTCATCGTTGTGGATAATTTTTTAATTTAATAGCTATCATATATTCTAAAAACTGTCCACCTTCAAAATTACTTAAGATTAGGAAATTAAAAACAAATTTGTAACATGATATCTCAATTTTTTGAATATAAAAATTTATTCTATTTATTTTTGAATATAAAAACTGTCCACATTCAAAATTACTTGTAATAAGAAATTAAAAATAAATTTGAAACATGGGATCTTAATTTTTTTGCCGTCATAGGTAAACGGTTCTATAATGTTATTACTTATTTACAGTCGCAACATAACTAAATTTTTTTTTTAGCATCGGTTCAAAAAAGTTAATTGCTATCCCTTAATTATGCACTACCATGTTGGCTGATTAAAATCATTGTGTTCACCGCTGCACTGAGGGAAAAAACACAAAAGACATAGAGAAAAAAAAATTTTAGAGAAAAAGAACTCCAGAACATATAATCCCTTATGTAACATGATTATACTATAATCTATTATGCCGTGGTTAATATACACTAAGGGAATGAGTGAGCAGTAAGAATATTAAGTTAAACTGAATGCTGAGAATGAATTAATATTCATGTAAAATAAAGATACACTAAAACGTAGATAAACATAAAAACTACATTTGACGAAGAAGAATGAAAATAAATGCCTAATAAATCCAGCGATATTTTTTCAACATATACAAGCAGATCTTGCATATCCTGAGGTAATATATGTAGAAATTTTAAATATAAAACATTATTACCTATAATGATTTTTTTATTGTCATATACTATATATATAAAGGGAATAAATTAATATCTTAATAGTCTGTTTTATTTTTTGCTAAAAAAAAACCTGTTTTATTGTTGCCATTTAAAAACAATATGAACCCTAACCCATTAATCGGCAATTGACTTGGGAAGTGACTGCTGCCCATTATTAAAAAACTGTCCATGGCCATAACAATCCACTACCCATGTAAATAGGAAGAAATTATTATCAAATAACTAAAAAAAAATAAAACACTTACTTTTTTCTACAGTGCATGATCTTAAATTATTAAATGATCTATTAAATAGTAAAAGAGATGACTCTTTATTTCAAAATGATTAAAAAAATTGATACATTTATCTCATTTCTCCAAGACTCCTCCCCTATAATAGTAACAGATAATAGATTAGTTGTCTTTTATTCAACAGCTACCTCCCTCCTTTGATGTGGCACTGTCATGTTCGACCGTTTCCTTTCATCAGGATTCACAGCTACAAACCCGTTAAGTGTCACTCCCACGATCTCATTCTCATCTTCCCTCTCCCTCCCTCTCCATGTCTTACTCATGGGCAGTCACTCTCTCTCTCACCTTTGTTTTTCTTTCTTCAAAATTTTCCTAGATTTCTCTTCCGTCCAATCTCTTCTGCTCCTGAAATCGGCATATATTTTATCAGCGACCCCTGATCTTCTAATTATATACAATTTTCGTTGATAATTTCAAAGTTTTTACTTTATTTTTTCACTAGCAAAATTTTCTGAGAGTTGAATGCGTAAATGCTTGATGCAATGAAAAGTTCTGTCAATGGTGGCTTCTTCCAGATGCAGAGCGGCAAAAATAGTAACAAAGAGGAGCTATCTATGCGTTCCCTGTAAACTTCTTTCCGTTTTTCTTGGTGAACCTTTCTTATAAACTTTCTTCATCCTCAAACTTCCTTTATTCTAGTGGTTTTTTTTTCCCCCTCCAAGTGACTCGGAGGTACTCGCTGGATATCCAGGTTATATCCAATTCATGCCGGTTTAGCCTGGTTCACACCAATTCAAGAAGATCCTAATTCATCTGGTCAACCAAACCGGACCGAACCAGCATGTTCCCGGACAATACGGTCTAAACCGGTTAATCTGGTCCAGTCCGGTTTTCACCACATTGTGATGAAGATGCACTTTAGAATATAATGAAATAACACCTATTTCCCAAAAAATAACATATTAGAACTGAATTGTCATTTTCCTCAAGATTTTCAGAAATAAAATAATCATACCTTTCCATTGATGATGAATACAAATATGGGTACATATTCAAAATTCAGAGTTATATGAGAAGAGGGTCTACACCACATATATGTTGAAATATTTATAAATAAAGAATGAATACTATGGATATGGTTGTATCAAATAGCTCTAGTGACGCTTCCTTGTGGATTTTATAGTCGCATGCCCGGTTTCTCCCAGATGCTTATGCAGTTTATTCCTGTCAATCACACAATTAAACATTCTATCAATCACATTAAATTATACATACATACGTACATACATAGATAAATACATAATAAGTAGATTTACCATGAAGCACGGGCAATAAAAACAATAAACACGCGAGAGATGAGTTACCTTGAATCAAACTCCTCTCCGCAAGCGTCACAGATATTGCCAAGATTCTTTGATGTCCCCTTCATTGGGATACAAATTAAAAATAATAAGAAATCAGAATAACGCACAAAAGACCAGCTTATTTGTAAGACATGACAACACCAAAAAATAGATGTATTCCGCTACAAACGAAATACTAATTTACTTTGATGTCTTAATGTTTTATACTGTAAATCTTAGAAACCACATAACAGTTACCACAAAATTGGAAGTGCGAGGAATCGTAGAAGGCTGTCACCATCTCAACTAAACAAGTAAATTTTACGGAAGCAAAGAGTAACTGCAGAATTTCAAATTCAAGGAAACAAGCTTGTTGACAAATAGTTACCCTGGCTTTTCTTGCTTTGGAGAAATTTTTTTCATTGGTTCTTGTATCCTTTGCAGCTCCTTTTTTATCAATACGTTGATGTGAAGTCTTCTTATCTCTACTCGCCTGCTCATTTTCTCCACCATTATTCTCGTTTTCCCCATTAGTAGAGTCTTCTGCCTGATATGCATCACCATTAATATATTTTTCATTCTGAAAATCATTGTTACTGGTAGCCACCATCGATTCTTCACTATTTTTTCTTCCTCCCTCTTTTTTAGAGCCACGTTTCTTTCTTGAATTCTTTCGTGTGTCATATTCCATAAAACCAACCTCATCGCTCTCAGTATCATTTTGAGATATACTCAATGTAGCCTTGCGCTCCTGGCTTGGGGCACCAGTTTTTCTGCTCCCGTGCCCAGCCACCATTGCTTCAAGGACACCCAATTCATCGTCACATTCTTTTCCATCAAAATCCTCCGAGATGCCAGCCTCCTCCCCTTCAGAATGCTGGGCATCAAGAAATTCTTCTTCCTCTTCTTCTTCATTCAACTCAATCCCATTTCCTGCCGCATCCTCTGCAACATTAAGACCATCTCTAATCTTCCCTTCTAAATCCTGAATCTCATTATGAGTGCTCCCAGACATATCATTCAACCCAACTTTGTCTTCATAACTGTCTGAGCTCCCCTTTCCTTCTCTTTCATCTACCTCCACTTCTTCTACCTCTACTTCCACATTCTCTTCATCATCAAGTGAATCCCTAAATTCTGCAACTTTCTCCTTGTGTTTCTTTGATTGCTCATGGTTCTTCCATTGCTTCTCACTCTTGAACTTCTTACCACACAGTACACAATAAAACTCATTCTCATCATTCTTCTTCTTACTTCCCTCCTCAAACCAATCAGGCTCATCTTCTTCATCCTCCTCCACTTTGGCCCACTCAGGCTCTTCATATGACATTGCTCTCTCTTTTTTCTCCTTCTCCAACTGCCTCTTCCTCTCCCTCTCCTCCTCTTTCTTCTTTTCCATCTCCATATTCTTCTTCACCTTCATATCAATCACCCTTTTATCCCTCTTCTTGACAAATTCAGCCAACTTCCGCACTGTGTCATTGTACTCTTTCTTTGCTTTCTTTCTGATCTTGCTGTTCTCTTCCTCCATAAGACGCCTTGACTTCCGGTTAGGACCAGCCATAACATCATACTCATCCACCCAACAAAAATCCATAATTGTTGAAAATCCCAACCAGTAATTGTAAAATGCTGTCACTTGAGCATAAGGGCTATCTAAATTGCCCATTACTGGGGATTGTCGAACCACATCTATACCTAGTCCTAATTTCTTAGCAAAGTTAATTTCATTGGCATGAATTTGAACAAAAACATCAGAATAAACCTTGTAGAATCCCTTGCCAGTGTCTGAATATCCAGAATAAACATTTGTAGAGAAGAAGGAAAACAGGTTCGGGATGAATGAGTTGGGCACTGACTTTCCCCCTGAGTTGGGATCAGAAAAGAGAATCTGAGACCGATGGGAATCATACCATGCTCGCTCTTTAGGGTCAGAAAGGACTTCATAGGCATGTTGGAGCTCCTGGAACTGAGCTGTGGCTTCAGCTTGTGGTAAGCCGGATTTGACAAGCTTGTCAGGGTGCCGTTGAAGGGCAAGACGCCTATATGCTGATCGTATTTCATCAGGAGTACAGTCTCGCTCAAGGCCAAGGACTTCATAGTGGCATCGGTTACCTGATGCCATGGTTCCCGGAATGTCTTTTTCTCTTTCCTTTTCTTTTTTTGGTCTAATTGTTAAAAATTAAGTGATGTATGACAGTAATGAATGGAGTTCAATGATGAATAGTAACAAGAACTGCAAAAGAAGCACGAATCCGAGAATTTTGGCATAAAATTTTGAAGATTCACGTTGAATGAATACGGAGAGCAGCATGAAATACACCTCCTTTATATTCTGCAACTACCTGAAACACATTAATCCCATATTATAGACGAAAATGGAGCATCAATTTTACTTATAAGTGCACACTTTCATCGACATAACCAAGACCCCCAACTGGCATAGGCTGATTATCAAACTCAGGGCGGCATGAGATCTTTGAAACGTGCATAGTTGGTATAATACCCTTTTAATTATTGTTCCAGATACTTTGACACAATTCGAGCCAAATCATTCAACATATCATACATCACAAATACCTTGACAATATCTAAATTGACGATATTATAAAAAGACTAATAAACGGAATGCCAATATACAGCACATCCAACATTGCAAAACAACAATCCAGAGCATACAACTCGTTAATAATGAAAATGAAGAGGGCAGAAATATAATACCCACCATTCAAGCAAAAACTAGTATAAAAAATACTTAAACTCAATCTGTCAGTATTCCCAAATTCAAAAGCGTCAATATCCAAACGATAACAACTAGATTCAAAGAAAAATTAAAACGAAAAGTTTAAAACAAAGCAAGAACAACCTCGCAGGGAACACATTCAAATCTAAATTCAAAGCCAGATTGAACAAATCAATCTCACCAGATTTTGGGATTGGAAAATGCCCTAGGGTTCGAACCTTCTTCACCACATGCCCAAGAACAACCACGCGGTGATGACGAGGGTCGACGGCGTCGGACGGAGCGTGGAATGCTTGTTCAGTGATGAAGGAAGAACAAGGGATCCGCTACCCGCGAAGCTGATTGTCAAATTTATAATTAATATCAGAAGAATTTCTGATAGGTCGCAAATTAATTACCCCCGGTCCCCAACTAATAAAATAATGCAAACAATTTTATTGATTTTTGCTATAAAAATAATATTGTCTTGGTTTTTTTAAATCCTTTATATAGTTTTTTTTTATACGTCGGAAAACAAATCCTTTATATAGTTACTCATTTCCTTTCTATACGAAATTCTTCCCCAACAAATAAGAATTTTACAAAAATTTTATTTATATTATGAATATTGCAAATGTAAATATCCGTAAGGGAAAATGATTAAAAAAAAGCTAAAAATTTGTCAATATTAAATAAGGAATGTCAACAAAAATTTATTGTCGTTTGCAACTTCAGTATTATCAACATCAAATAAGGTATTGTGACCAAATCTGGTTTAGGATTTAATCATTTCCAACTTTTTTTTTTTTGTTTATTCTCCTTATCTATAACCCCTAAAGTTATATTAAAGGTATATTTGGTATGAGGGAAATGGAGGAAAAAGGAGGGAAGAAAAAATTTTAATGGGCTCATTTTAAAAAATTGAAGAAATTAAAAATTTTTGATCAATTTTAATTACATTTTCTTTTTATTAAAAATTTATAACCTTTTTAAAATGAGCTCATTAAAATTTTTCCTCCCCTCCCTTTTCCTCCATTTCCCTCGTACCAAACAGTTCCTAATTTGTAGGTCTCGTTTGGTAGCATGGAAGTAAAGCCTTGAAGTTGGAATTAGGATGAGAAGTAGAACGTAGGCCCCCTCATTTTGAGGCAGCCTAGCTACTATGAAACTCATTTCTATGATAGAATTGAATTTTTTTTGAACTACTATACCTTTTGTGTTATGAATATTATATGTGGATGTCCATTTACCCCTTCCTCTTCAACTTCACCAGGTAATTTCCATTATTTCTACTATACATTACTCCTCCATTTTTCCATTATCCCTCTACTATCTATTTAATCTTGTAACTCACCTCCACTCACATTCATGAGATTGATTATCTATTATTTGTCATTTAAGAACGAATGTAACCTATGTATAAGACTGTGCTTATAAATAGGACATGTCATTGGTATTGTGAAGTAGGTGAAGAAATGCAGTAGTTCTCTTTTTTTCTTGTCTTCATCTTTTCCTACTCTACTTTTGTGGTTTCATTTCATAAGATGTTGTCAACATGAAGCGCTCTTGTAATTGAAAGGTGTTGCAGTAAGGCTCATTATAACTAGATGCATTTATGCTTACAAGACTTTAAATATGTGATTGAATATAATTCTACAATATTTAGAATCAGTTCTCAACTAAAATTATGTGGAGAAGAGATTACTAATGAAGATGTGTTACAGAAAACATTTTCCACATTTCATGCATCCAATGTACTCTTACAGTAGCAATACTGTGAGAAAGGTTTCAAAAAATGTTCTAAATTAATTTCTTGCCTACTTATGGCTGAGCAAAATAATGAGCTTTTAGTAAGAATCATGAATCTTGTGAAACATCCTTCTTTAAACCCTTTTAGTACGCATTTAGAAGCAATACAATTCAAGCGATTCACAAAACAAGCCCAAAATTTAAAATTTGTTTCTCGGAGGGTAAATTTCAGATTTTTAGTTCAACTTTAAAAATTCATAACTAATTATAGAAAAATCATATTAAGTTGGTTCAAAATTCTCTTTGAAACTCTTTTAATTCTATATAGGAGAATAATATAAATATGGCCTACTACTTCCAAATATGAGGAATCCAAATATGAGGTTGGATTTAATAAAATCCAACTCTTTTCTTTAGAAACCCTTGAGGCTGAAACATAGGTGTTTAGAAACTAAAATTTTCATTTTCAATTTCAATACTTTCAAAACACATTTTCTTCATATAATTCCATACAATTTTATTTTCTAAACTCATTAGAAGCATTAAATCAACTGGAATCAAATTATAGCATTAAACCCCATTTTGGCCGAACCATATATGTTAGTGGCAGTCTTACCCAAGAGGGGGTAAATTTGGTGAGTTATAAAAATTTAAACAAATTGAAATAACGAAATTAAAAAAACAAAGGGCTTTAGAATTAGAAAGATTTCACCACAGATTAATGATATCAGATTTATACTGGTTCGGTCTTAACCACTTGACCTATGTCCAATCCTCAGAATACCTCTGAGATTTCCACTATGATCCAAGATAACCGGGCTCTTGATGCCTCAGTACAGTAATTGATCTTCTCAATCACTCCCCCTTACTACTTGTAAGGTTACAAACCTACTCAAGAGTCCACATTCTTGAGTTACACTCAGAAAGTGATTAAAGATGATATATTAGTCTCTCTCACAGAGTAAATGGATGAGAAGCACTAAAGCTCAGTAAAGACAAAAACAGAGTATTGAATGCAACAGTAAAATATTTGCAGAAGGTAGCTCGCGTATTCAATTTTCTCATTCAATGCTTTTTCGTGCCTTTTATAGTTGCGGAAGTTTAATAACCATTAGACGGAAGAGCTTCTAGCCGTTGGGAGTTTAGTTGAGTGTTTTCCCAGTTGCAACGGTATTCGCCATTTAATGCTTCTGACATGGTAGGTTACAGGCTACTAAATAACTGTTGGATAACCGTTGAACTTTCTTCATAATCTGTAACAATACTTCAATCTAATAAGTTTTTCCTTCAGAATGAAATTCAGGAAGATAACTGATAAAAATGATAGTAATATTCTTATGGTAGGAGAGAAGTAAATCAATCAAACATTAGATCCAATAACTATGAACTGATCAACCTTGATCAAAGACATGATCTATAACTGGTTTATCGATTACGTTATCGATTAATAAAGATGAAAGATTTTAAAATAGATAACAGAAGGAGAAGGCTCAAGGTCACTTATGATTCCGAATCTCTTAAAATAAAGAATTAAGATAAATAGTAAGGTTAAGAAAAGCTCGAAGAGAAATATTCAGAAGATTCTTAAGTCTCACCGAAGCTTCTGGTATTGAAAGAGCTGGATCATTGATCGAATAAGTGATCGGAAAATGTTTGATCAATCAATTTATTGATAAACATAAGTAGGAGAGAATTTGATTTTCAAGGTACATTGATCGAATACTTTATCAATAAATGGATGACAGAAAATTTGATCAATAAAATGAAGTTTAACAAAGATTTTCATAAAGAGCACAAATCCTAAGATGATCGAGTAAGTGATCAATCAGAGACTTATCGATCAAGTGATCGATAATAATGTAGTTGAGAAGTTCAATTCTCAAATGCCAGAAGCATGTTTGATCGATCATATTATGTGAAAACAGAATATTCAGAAGATTGAATGATCAATCATTTTATTGATAAATTGATGATCGATCAAGTGATCGAAGAAAGACTTAAAAAGTTTAAATCAGTGAAAAGGTAATGATGGATCATTTGATCAATAAACCGTTGATCGATCAACTGATCGATAAAGTAATTTTTAAAAGCACTTAAATAGAAGAAAAATATCGATAAGCAGGTGAAATATTATGCAATGACATAATAGGTTATCGATAAATCTGTGATCGATAAAGTGATTGATAAATGGTGATTAAAACAAAATACAACGAAAATAGGGAGTTTTACCATTTATCTGTCTTCTCATTAATAACTCATTTATCGATCAAGTGATTGATAAACACTTACCAAAACTTGTGTCCCATTATCTGTCAGTTGTTCGATCACTAGATTATCGATCAATTGATCGATAATTTTCTGCAAACTTCTATACAAAACAGTGTTAATGATGATCGCACATACAAATTTGATTTATCTATCAGGTTATTGATTAACATTTCTACTAAGTTTCTTGTTAACACAAGAACTTTATCTATCAAGTGATCAATAAACCCTCAATTGATCAGATGATCGATCAACTTACTAAAACACAGATTCCTTAATTTGTTATCATCAAAACCTTAAATCTAACAATATATGTCCCTTTAACAATCATGAAATTCCTTCATAAACCTTAATATGTAACACCTTAATTTTTTATCAAATAACTATCCAAATAGAAGCAAATGGAATCATATTTGATGGCCAGATTCTTGGGTTACTATTCACAGCAGCCCATAATTTGGCCAAATTTTAAAAATTCATAATTAATTCTAGAAAAATCAAAATTGAGTGATTCTAAGTTCTATTAGAAGCTCTGTGGATTAACTTTGGAGGGGAAAAAAAAGCACTGGTCAATTTACCTTTAGATTCAGGCCTAGTTTAATTTTCAAAAGTTATTGTTCATTTGGTCATTTTCTAATTTTTCAGTATTTTTTGTTAAATTTGGAATGACATAACTTCTTGTACAAATATCCATTTGAGACGTGCTACCACTCATTTTAAAGAGAAAATGAGATCGCTTAGATTGGAAAGTTTCGTAGATAAACTCCATTATTTGACCAAAACCACCTTGGTTAGAGTTTGTCCCCAATGATGTTGACTTTTATTCCTTTTTAGTTTTACCTCTTCATACTTAACTCTAGCTCAACATACTATCATTCAACCTCATGATTGGATAAAATAACATACTTTGTCATAACCACGTATCAAAATATAGTAAAGTATCATCCAAAAGAATATTTACAAGCATCCACATATTTCAAGAAAGGATCAAGCTCTATAAGATTCCATAACATCAAATATTTCTTCAAGCATTGATCAACTCCTCGCCTTTTGCTTTGGATGTTGTAGCCCCTAGGGAATTGATGGAATATGGGGGGTAAGATTCATGGGAATCTTAGTAGTATAGCATTACATTTAAAATGTCACACAAGCAATGATTCACATGGTATATGTTTCTAGCTATCACATTCTTTAACTTTGATGCACATGCCATGGAAAGGAATAACATACTTTCTCATTCAACATACTCAATATTGCATAAGCCAAGGCATTTCATGCGTGGAGATAAACATAAGATCACATAGCAATCTCATCCACATTATGGCATAGCAACA